GTTCCCATCATTCTGGGTAGACCGTTCCTAGCAACTGGAGGAGCAGTTATCAATGTACAAAAAAGGGAACTAACCATGAGAGTTCATGACGATGAGATCAAGTTCAATATTGTCAAAGCAATAAAGTTCCAGGACGAAGGAGAAGACTTGGAAGAATATTCTGCTCTCACTTTGTTAGACAACCATCCTAGCAGAAAAACAGAGGAAGAAGAATACGAGGAAAGAGAAGAAGATCCACAACAGGAAGAGCAGAGTTGCTATCTGCAAGAAAGAAGGCCTGAACCTTTGATAAGAACTGAAAAGGAGAAGCAGCTCAAAAGACCTTCTTCAAAAAAACCTCCTGATTTAGAACTAAAACCCCTTCCCCAACATTTGAAGTATGCATATCTGGGGAACAACAACACCCTTCCTGTGATCTTTTCTTCATTTCTTACAAAGGAACAAGAAGAACTGTTGCTTGACAAGCTCAAAAAGTATCAAGTTGCCATCGGTTGGACCATAGCTGATCTCAAAGGTATCAGTCCCTCATTCTGTATGCATAAAATATTATTGACTGATCCTAACAGTATTTTTATGGAACACCAAAGAATATTGAACCCTATAATGAAAGAAGTGGTGAGAAAGGAAGTCATTAAATGGCTGGATGCAGGGATCATATACCCAATATCTGACAGCAGTTGGGTAAGTCCTGTCCAATGCGTCCCCAAAAAGGGAGGCATAACAGTAGAGAAGAATGAAAAGAATGAGCTGATACCTGTAAGAAAGGTTACATGATGGAGAATCTGCCAAGATTACAGGAAGCTCAACAATGCCACCAGGAAGGACCATTTCCCACTCCATTTTACAGATCAGATAATGGACCACCTAGCAGGAAAAGAATACTTCTGCTTCCTTGATGGATATTCGGGGTATAATCAAATTGCCTTGGCACCAGAAGATCAACATAAAACCACCTTCACCTGCCCATATGGAACGTTCGCTTTCAGAAGGATGCCCTTCGGGTTATGTAATGCACCAGCAACGTTCCAGAGGTGTATGTTCTCAATCTTTTCTGATCTAATAGGTGAAGGAGTAGAAGTCTTTATGGATGATTTTTCAGTACTGGGAACGTCATATGATCACTGCTTGGACAACTTAGAAGAAGTCCTTCAAAGGTGTCTGTCCTCTAATCTAGTGCTTAATTGGGGAAAATGCCACGTCATGGTGAAAGAAGGAATAGTCCTGGGACACAAGATTTCCAGAGAAGGACTGGAAGTGGATCAAGCCAAAGTAGAAGCTATAGCAAAAATGCCACCACCAGTAAGTGTAAAAACCTTGAGATCTTTTTTAGGGCATGCAGGCTTTTACAGAAGGTTTGTTAAAGATTTTTCCAAAATAGCTAGACCTTTGTGCCACTTATTAGAAAAAGATATAAAATTTGAGTTTAACTCTAATTGTATGAAAGCTTTTGAATCTTTGAAAAATAAGCTCATCACCACGCCTGTCATCCAACCTCCAGACTGGAAATTACCCTTTGAACTAATGTGTGATGCAAGTGATCATGCTATTGGGGTAGTTCTGGGCCAGAGGAAAGACAAACTTTTTCGTAGCATATATTACGCCAGTAAAACTCTAAATGAAGCTCAGGTGAACTACACAGTCACTGAAAAGGAGCTATTGGTTGTAGTATATGCTTGTGAAAAATTCAGGCCTTACATTTTAGGATCAAAAGTTACTGTCCATATTGACCATGCAGCTCTCAAGTACCTCTTCTCGAAAAAGGAAGCAAAACCAAGATTGATAAGATGGGTCCTACTGCTGCAAGAGTTCAATCTGGAGATCAAAGAAAGAAAAGGATGTGAAAATCAAATTGCAGATCATCTGTCCAGATTGGAACACATTGAAGTGGGGCTACCAATCAAGGAAACGTTCCCTGACGAACAATTGCTTGTCATTAATCACATAGAGACAAATGCTCCTTGGTTTGCTGATATAGCCAACTTCCTCGCAGCAGGGATGGAACCTTATGAGGCGAATAAAATGCAGAAGAAGAAATTTTTTCACGATTGCAGGAACTACCTCTGGGACGAACCACTACTGTTCAGAAGATGCGCAGACCAAATGATAAGAAGGTGCGTCCCAAAAGAAGAACAGCCTCAAATCCTTCAACACTTCCATTCATCCCCATATGGAGGACATCTAGGTGGAATTAGGACTGCCTCCAAGGTTCTTCAATCAGGTTTCTTCTGGCCTTCCCTTTTTAAAGATGCACTTCAATATGCAAAAAATTGTGATAAATTTCAAAGAGAAGGTAACTTGACTAAACAAAATGAAATGCCCCTCAATCCGATCCTAGAAGTTGAATTATTTGATGTTTGGGGCATTGATTTCATGGGACCTTTTCCTCCTTCATGTGGGAACAAATTCATATTAATGGTTGTAGATTATGTAAGCAAGTGGGTAGAAGTAGTTGCTTTACCCACTAATGATGCTAAGGTGGTTATAAAATTTTTAAAGAGGAACATATTAACCAGATATGGAACCCCACGTTGTCTCATCAGCGACGGAGGGAAACATTTCATCAACCGCCAACTTGAGAGGTTGTTGGAGAAATATGGAGTCAAACAAAAAGTTGCAACCCCATATCATCCACAAACCAGTGGTCTCATTGAAGTCTCTAACCGAGAGGTTAAGAGAATTTTAGAGAAGGTAGTTAATCCTTCTCGAAAAGACTGGTCTCTCAAGTTAGACGAGGCATTATGGGCTTACAGAACAGCATATAGAACACCTTTAGGGTGTTCCCCATACAGATTAATATTTGGCAAAGCTTGCCACCTCCCCCTCGAACTGGAGCACAAGGCTTACTGGGCAGTCCAAACCCTCAACATGGATGAAAAAACAGCTGGAGAGAAGAGATTGCTGCAACTCGAAGAATTAGAGGAGTTCAGAAGGAACACATACGAAAATCATAAATTGTACAAGGAGAAGATGAAGAAGTGGCAAGATAAAAGGATCAGGAACAGAGATCTCAAAATCGGTCAGAAGGTGCTATTCTTCAACTCCAGACTAGACTGTTCCCAGGTAAACTCAAATCAAGATGGACCGGGTCATATCAAATTATTAACGATGCAGGAAACAGAACTTTTGAAATCCAAGGTTCAGAACATGGTCGTTCCTTCAAGGTAAATGGGCACAGGTTGAAACTATACAATGATGAAACCTTTGATGAAAAAGAGGAAAGTATCCCTCTTTCTGAAACCCCTTGAGAGGTAAGTACCATGTCTATCTAAAGACATTAAACTAAGCGCTGAATGGGAGGCAACCCAGTAGATACATTTTGCTCTCTGACAAAGAGCAAAGTTTTCGGGTGGTTATCCATAACCACATAGCTCCCAAAAAGGAGGGAACGTCTGATGTTCCTCTCCAAAATGTCCAAATAAAGTACGTTCCGTTCCAGGAACATAGTTTTGGGGTGGTCCCTAACCACACAATCCCAATAAATAAATATATATACATATATATATATATATAGGGGAAATCATTTCTACAGCTGCTGTAGATAAGCTTCTCTACAGCTAAGTAAAACTACGTCGTTTTGGTCTTTTAAAAAAAACTTTGTCTTCTAATATTAAACGTCTTCAACAGCAGTCCTGTTCCCAAACTCGTCGCCGTCGAGCAGCAGAGGGCTTCTTCTCCTTTCTGTCTTCTTTCCGTCGGTGGTTGCTCTTCCCCCAAATGGACCAGCTTATAGTCTAATCAAATTGACCCTTTACATCAAATTGACCCTTTACAGCTTGTAGTCTATTATGTCTTTTTTGGGGAGAGTCAGGAGGAAATGTAGTGAAAGAAACGGAGGGTCGGCTGCAAAGTTGCCGAAGAATATTCTATTTTTTTAAAGAAAATAATTGTCATTCATTATTTTACTACAGAGCTTCAGGAGAGGTGAACAGCCTTTCTTTGGGCTAAAATTCAATCCTGTCGAGGTTATGTATTTTTATTCCAAAACGCCCCTTTTCAGGATTTTGCCTTTTTCCATTTTACTCCGGTTTCCTTTGAAAAAAGACATATGGTTTATATAAACCAAACCAGTAGCTTTGTTTGTTTTCAATTTCCTTCCGAAGTTTACCAAGTTAAGCATGTCAGTGATTTCCTGTTGTCTAATGCCAAAAGGTTGAAGTGATAATCTTTTTGAAGGAATAATTAGAGGTGATCCGCGCAGTTGAATATTTACTGCAGATGGTTAAGATATAGTGAAGTTTATTATGCTTCTATGGTGTAACCTTGAATTGTACTGGTTATCTTTTCATGTTCCAATTTAAATGCAATGTTGTTTTTCTTTTTATCCTCTTTCTTTGCTGTTACTTGCTATTGCTATTACTTTGTGCAATGTCACTCTGCTGCAACAGTTTTCCAGGGCCCGGTGTGGTCCTATTTTTGGATTTTTGCAATCTTTCTTGAAGAAATTTTGAACTAAAATAGTGAAGGGGTCTTTTTTGCTTTGAATGATATAATTCAAGATCCGGGGTGGGTGTTAATTATGTTTCTTGATGATAAGGCACTCCAACTGTGCCGTGAAAGGAAGAAATTTGTTAGGCAAGCACTCGATGGGTGTTGCACGTTAGGAGCTGCTTATGTTTCATATGTCCAGTCACTGAAAACCCACCTACCCCTTTAATCATTTGTAACATTGATACCAAGATACAACATCATATTCAAATGCAAAATGTGTTTTGCAAAAATAAATTCCAACGAAAAAATAACTTCAAAAAAAAGTTATCTCTACCAGTGATAATACTTGTTAAGTTACAATCTCAAATGAGGCCGAAGAGCAAGCACAATGGTCATGATGAAATTAAGTTATCTCTACCAGTGAAACAATACCAAGATACGATAAAATTACAAATAAAAGCACAAGTGGTTCATCTCCATCATCCTCTGAATTGTCAATTTGTACTGGTCCCTTAATATTGCTATTATTATTACCAAAAAGCTCCCAGGATGGTTCAGCTTTGGTCTCTCCTCTACTTTTTCTTATACTTTGCCTCTACCCTGCATGAAATAACCACTAGTTTACATGTATGAGATCAAAATGGAAGAGACAGAGATGACCCACTAAAGGAATAAAATATTTCATTACCCAGTGTAAAGACTTTTTCTGCCATCATATGCTGGAAGTCTCGTCCCCAAGTCAGACTCTTTATACAGCCTCACAAGTTCAGCTATAATGGACCTGTTTACTGTTCTCGAAGCCACTTCTGGGGATATAGTAACCTTCAAAATAAAGCAACGCATAATGGTATTAAATTTAAGCACAAAGAAAAAAAAACAGAACTTATAATATTCCAGCAACCATGGTTCTGCATTTTGAAATTAAGACCAGAAAATCTTTTTGAAATTTATTCTTTATAATATTCCAGCAAACTTACTCGTGCAAAATTTATCCAAATCTTGATTGTAATGAATGGTTCTGCATTTTAGATGGGAGATGAATGACCAAAAGAAAGTACACTCTAGAAGTCAACCATGAAAAAAAATACTTCTGCAGTAGAAGTCTCTGAAACGAAGGATGAAATTAGACAACTTAAAATGACTGCAAGACAATTATGTTGTCCAACAACAGCTGTTAGTCATTAAATCATTACTATAACAAAAAAAGAATTTACAAAATGGTGAAAGAAATGAGCTAGTGTTTTTCCTGTTTTTATTTTACAGTGATTTTCATGCAATGAAAAATTTACTAATAAAAGTCTTACCTGACCATTCATTTTCCAAAGTGTGAGTGTTAACCTTGGGTATTATTACAGTAGGGAATCAATGGTTTGTTTTACAGCAAAGCAGTCAAACCAAGAACAAAGGACAGCCTTGATGATCATCTGGAGATAATGAAAACAAAGAACAGTGTGATCGCAATTCTGGAGAAAGCAGCCCGGGAGATTCTTGGTACTAATAATGGCAGTATTAAAGGATCTGTACAAATTGACAATCCCACAGCTAGTATTCCTGTTGCTTCTCTCTTGCAGCATCCATCTACAAGTGAAGCATAATAAAATTTTCATCAAGTTTAAAGAGGAAAACATATATATCAACTTCACACATACCTTTAGCTTCTGACAACCAGTCTTATAATGACCTTTTCCTTGACAATAACTGCAAGTCCTTTGTTGTTTTGTGGACATTTCCATGCTAGATTTTATACGTGAAGCAACCCTTGGACGCCCCTTAGTTTTGACTAGTTGAGTAGGATCACGCACATCATTAATGTGTGAAACTTGTGTAACATTATCGGGAACTAGTGAAGGATAAATTGTGGGAACCATTTCATCTTCAGATGCCTTTTTCTTTCTTTCCAATTGTAGTTGTAGAAATTCAGAAATCATAGCATCAAGCCTTCTAACCTCAGAAATAGAATCTCTTGCTTCAGAAACAGCCATAGTGAATTTAGATTGAACCAACCACAAAGACAATGCACTAACTTCATTAGTAGTTGTTTCAACATGAATGCCTGCAAATTCTCCAACCCTATAACTTGCATCCATTGTCCACCTAGACAAAATATATTTTTCAGGAAGGGTCATTATTTGTTTCTTCTTCATGATGTATAGAGTATGTCTACACAAAATCCCCATAGTTTCAAATTTTGCACAAGAACAATGAGCTGTGAATGTTTCTTCCAAATGGTAGTCGACAATTGCCCACCACTTTTTATCAACTTCACGAGATCCCACCCGGTACTTGGTACATTTATTGTCTGTTGAAATCTTTTCATGAAAATAATCACCAATGGCAACCTTCCACTCCTTTTTGAAGATCTCAAACATTTTTCTTGTGTAGCGCTCTCCGGCTGTTGCTTCGATTGGGTGAGCAGTCTCCAAAATTGCCTTCGTATTTATTGTTTTGAAATCTTCATCTTCTTCTGCATCCCTCCTAGACTTGATTGCTTTGTCGTATTGGATGACAAAGTCATTTAACATTGTGTTAGAGTTGACATATCCATCAAAAAAAGAATTGATGCTCTCACTTCGACCACTTGTGGTCATTCCGGCAAAAAATGTATCTTTCAAGTATGCCTTTGCCCAATGATGACGTGAAGTATACATGTTAGCCAACCAACTACCTGCTCTAATATCATATTTATTCTTTAATGCTTCCCACTTGCCTTCAAACTCATCGATGTTTTGACTTTTATACCACTCACGGAAGTCAACATCAAAACTATCTTTAAATTGTGCGCGAAGTGCTTGACTATGCTCCATAACATGTTTTTTCAGGTGCCATGCACAAAAACGATGTCGAGCTCCTGGAAATATCTTAGCAATTGATTTTCCCATAGCTTTGTCTTGATCAGTTATAATAGCAACCGGAGACCTATCAAACATACATGTTCGAAATTGTTCAAACAACCAAGTAAAGGTTGCTTCTGTTTCATCTTCTAACAAGGCAGCAGCAAATAAAATTGATTGCCCATGGTGATTAACACCCACGAAAGGGGCAAAAGAAAACTTGAACTTGTTTGTTCTGTATGTCACATCAAACACAAGGACTTCACCAAATTGGGCATATGCAGCTCTTGACCTACCATCCGCCCAGAATACACTTCTTAATGTACCATCTTCCGCTAGATATATATCAAAATAAAAATCTCTATCAACAACAGACTTCCTTTGAAAGTGTTTGACAATGCCCTGGCATTCTCGGCCTACATTACTATGTCTCTGGCTTGATATAATAGTGCTAATTTGAATTGGAGTAATATTAACATCTTCGTTCATAGCGTTAACCACCTTTGAGATTTTTGAAGATGTTAAACCCTCCTGATAAAGCTTAGAAACCAACGACTTAGTAATGCCTGAGCGTCGTAAATCATTATGAGAAAAAAACTTCTTCACCTTTGTAGGAGTGTTAATCAATGGATGGTTGTGTGTATCATTGAATTTTTCCACAACCCATGATCCATCAACCAACTTTATTTGTAATATCGCTGAACAATCAGTCCTTGTTTCCCTTCGCCTTTTGACATTGTCAACATCAACTCTTTTATCATGAAGTCGTTTCACACCTTGCTTTGCACATACATAATTCCACCTAAATGGCTGTTGTGTTTTTGTACTCCTATTACACCAGTGCTTACGTATTCCAAATCCTTTACTTTATGCATAATAATTATAAAAGTCATAAGTTTCTTTTATTGTCTTAAAGACTCTACCCAAAATGGGGGTAACCGTGAAGCTCATATCATCAGCTCCCACAATTTCATGCACGTTATCTTCCCTACAATCACCATCTTCGTCTTCTATAGTTTCACACTGATTATATTCTCCAAAATCATCATTGTCTTTCTCCAAATCAACAACCTTATCACAATATATTAAACTCTCACTCATGTCAATGTCTTCAATAGTTGTTATCTGTGAGTGATCCGTCTTGAATATATGAAAAAATTTGAACAATAGTTAGTCCTATACTCCAACATAGGCATACTGCATGTCATGTATAGTGAATTCAAATAATAGTTAATCATTTACCTGACCATCAAAACGTGCAACCAAAACAGTAGATGATCCTGGAGATTGTGTCTCAACAACACTTTTAGCGAGATTTTCACACTTTTCCATGAGTTCCCTTGTATAAGTCTAGATTACAACCTGCATATATAAAATTATTTTTCTAAAATTATTTTTCTGAACCAGAGGTGTTAGCATAGAAAAGAATTCAACAAAATTTCTAGGCTACATTTAAATACAGAACATGATACTTGTAGCACCACAACAATGCTCCATCTTGGATTCTCTATAAAAGGATAAACAGGATGCCAATTGTTTTTTTTCTAGTCTACATTCAATCTCTCTCTATGAGTGAGATATGAACCTCACTAAAAAGTTTTGGTTCTTAAATTTTCTGAAAGGGTGATACCACTTAATCCTATTGTCCAGTTTAACAGAGATAAAAACATAAGACTAGAGCCGCAGAGGATCTCTAATAATGTGCAGCACAAATCAAACAAAGATTTAAATAAAATTTCGTTTTAGAAAGGCATTTATACTTTTTTATTTTAAATAAAAGTAATTGATTTCATATAAATTAATTATACATTGCACCATTCAAGCTTCTATTCAGTCACTCAAAATGAATATAAGTAGACATAAGTTCAAGGCAGATCCAAAGTTGATATATGAAAATCTTAACTCTACTTACAACTTTCAAGTAATGATATATTCTGCACAAGATAATGTAACAGTATTATTTAAACTTACACAGAGGAGCATTAACCTGGTCAATAGAGGCACAACATTAACAAAGATAGTATTTTTTATCAAAAAATTAAAACAAACACTTTACCCAGAAGGCACATCAATAAAAAGTTTGAAATTCATTCATGAATTAAAGAAAAAATATCAGTATGGTAGCAAATTTTATTGTTAAGGCACAACAACACACATGGTGAAGCATATAGAATTACATATATCCCGCATGTGATAAATAACATTAAAAGTCATGGAAGCAGGCACATGCGTCTCGCATATAAAAGATGGAAGTAACATATTAGGTATAAAATAAAATAAGATAAACATACTTTGTGATACTTTATAAAAGCAGCCACACTTGTAATCTAAATAAAACAAAAATAATACTGACCTCTGGGCAACAGAAGGTAACCATCACTCTTAAGTCCACACAATCTTCTAAATGGAAAAGACTCAGTGAGTACGATAGAAAATCATTCACATGCCTTCAACTAAAAGCTTAAGCTTTTGAAAAAGTTGGCTCCTAACATGGTATTTGAGTGTTTGTGAGCAAGTGGTATTGAGTTACATACCCATTCTTCTAATAAAAAGTTGAATTTTGGCGCAAGGTAAGTATGTTTTCATTCATCAACGTTTTGAGTCCAAAGAGCTCTTGTATAAAGGAATGTGTTAAAATAATGATATAGAGTCATTCATGTGCTTTCACCTAGCAGCTTAAACTTTCAAGATAATTGTTTCTTGTCAAGCCTATTGTCATTAAGAATTAAGACCGAAAACATTCTTCCAAACAAGTTTTGTTGTTTCTTTATTTTAAAAACAGACAGTAGTTCTTGAAAATAAAAACCAAACAACCCCTTAAACACTATTAAGCCACAATACTAAGAGAAAGAGTACAACTTTATACCATATGATTCTTCCAATTTTCGTATGAATGCCAATTGAGAGAGAGCACCTGTAATTCCAGAACAGAGAAGAATCCATTAGATAATTATATAATGAAAAACTTTGCTGGTATTGCTTCTTGTTAATAATTTAAACAATAATAACATTTTATTATTGACATAATTCTAGTATTGCAATAAGCCAATACAGGAATGTAGAAGAAATAAATCCACCAATTTGCAAAAAAATTATTCAGAAACAAGAATTATCTTTAAATTGCACGCAACAGAGTCTATAGATTTTTCAGAAAGGGGTGGGAGGGGAGTTGCCAACACCTAAAAATAAATTTAGGGCACTGAAGAAATAAATTTAGGGCACCAGAAAATGGTGGAGGGAGAGTGAACGCCCAAAAAGGAAGAGGGGAAGGGCTACTGGTGATGAAGGAAAACCACCGATGAAGGAGAAGAACGCAAGTTGCAAAGGAGAAGAGGGAAAACGATCTGTTCTGTCATTGAAGACGTTGATTAGACTACAAGCTGGTCCAGTTGCATTTGCTCGAGCCAAGCTCCTAAAACTCTCTTACCTTACCTATTAAAACCCTTTCATCCCATTTCTTGTCTAATCACTCCATTTGGGGGAAGAGCAACCACCGACGGAAAGAAGACAGAAAGGAGAAGAGGCCCTCTGCTGCTCGACGATGACGAGTTTGGGAACGGGACTGCTGTTGAAGACGTTTAATATTAGAAGACAAAGTTTTTTTTAAAAGACCAAAACGACGTAGTTTTACTTAGCTGTAGAGAAGCTTATCTACAGCAGCTGTAGAAATGATTTCCCCATATATATAGAGGAGGGATATTCTTACTACTAAAATTTTTCACTACCAACTTACTACTTATCTGATCATCATTGGATCAAAGAGAGAGAATATTAAAAAGTTTTTGAAGAGAGAGAAAATATTAATACAATGGTGATTAGATAAGTAGTAAGTTGGTAGTGAAAAATTTTGGTAGTAAGAAAATTCCTCCTTATATACATATATATATATATATATATATATATATATATATATATATATATATATATATATATATTATGAGGTAGGATCCTTTGACACCGGTGTCAAATTTGAAATTTGACACCTCATCTGAGAGCCGTCAGATCAAAAAAGATCAATGGTGTCACATGCTTGCAAATCAGAGTCGTTGATCTTTTTTGATCTGACGGCTCTCTGATGAGGTGTCAAATTTCAAATTTGACACCGGTGTCAAAAGGTCCTACCTCATATATATATATATATATATATATATATATATATATATATATATATATCAATGGTGTCATATGCTTGCAAATCAGAGTCATTGATCTTTTTTGATCTAACGACTCTCAGATGAGGTGTCAAATTTAAAATTTGACACTGGTGTCAAAGGATCCTACCTCTATATATATATATATATATATAAAAATTTGAGCCCTTAGATATAAGTGAGATTATCGAACAAGATTAAAAGTGTAACTTACACTGGTGTAAAATGATCTTGACCCTATATATATATATATATGAGGATGGATCTTTTGACTCTAGAGTAAGACTTACAACTCTTACACTTTAAATATTATATATATATATATATATTCTATATAAGAATTAAAAATATTATGTTTTTATCATTATATACATATCAATTGCTTTAAATTAACTTTTACACTTTATAAAATTTTTAAATATCATAATAATAACAAGCATAAATGATATTAAAAATAATTATACATTATATTACTAAAAAAAATAACTATACATTATATTACTAAAAAAAATAATTATACATGTTAAGACTTAAGATCAAGCTGATATTATATAACCTTAAAAATAAAAACCCTATATATAACTTAAAAAATAGTTTTAACCATAAATTAAGAAATAAAAAGGACAAAACGCATTTCTAAAGTATACGGCCCTACCGGTGTCATGTCGGGGTAGCAAAATCCTTATCCACCATGAGGCTCTGCTTTTCCTATTTCTAATAAAGGAATTAAAATTATGAAATATATTTCATGATAAAAAAGGCGACTAGGTACTAATGACATCTGTCATATAATATATTCTATTTACCAATGATGGACAAAGGGTTGCTTCACTAATCGATACTAAGCAAAACGACAGGTGACAATGTGACATGATCAATTGCTCCATCCAAGATTTTCTTATCTATTTTCATTTCTCTTTTTGCATAATGCCAAATATAGGAAATTTCATTTTACGAAATCGTATCGAAACTAACGTGGCATGTCTTTGTGTTTAATATTGTTATTATTAATGGCGACCAAATTATGGTAGTTTAGTTGATGTATAAAGTTGAGTAAATGAATATGGAAGTATGTAATCGATCCTTCACAATATCATATTTGACAATGACTTAAAATCTTAATCATAAATTTATCCCGAACAGCATTGCCTTCTGCTGATAAACTTTTATCTAAAAAAATTAATGGCGTCAGAATTTTTTGTGACAAGGACAAAAATAAAATACCAAAATTATAAGTGTTATTAGAAATAATAAGATGAATCAACTTTTATAAGTATTTTCTAAGGAAAAACTAACTATTGGTTGGGTCATGCACGAGGAGCTCATGACGAGACAAAATCGCCAACTATGGACCTAGTGAGCAGCAATATTAAATGAGTTCAAAATATCATAATTAAACTCAAACTTTAAATTATTGGTGCATGAATCATTTCAGTTATATGATGCTCATTTAGTCCATTTTTAACTAATGTGAATTTTTTTTCCCTCAATCATTCATTGATTTTTCAACACTATTGACACTAAATATATTTTTATTAGACAAATATTATTTTACAAGATTTAGAGAGGGGCGACCAGCCAACCGTCCCTCAGTCGGCCCTGGTTATGAATGTTATATTTGAAGCACAGATACCCAGTTGTTGCGCGGTGCATAGCGCTCGATGCAAGAAGCCCATGATTTTGGTTTTTTATTTTTAATTTTAAGATTCATTTCTTATCTTTGGTTTTTCTCAAATTTCGCAGGGAGACTTGGAGTTTGATTAAGAAAAATTTATGGTGGAATTCTAAGATATTGGAAATTAAGTTTTAACCCCTTTTTTATATTATTTATCAATTCATCGATTACCCAACTAATCTGATATGCGGTTATATTTTTGGGAATTCGAACTCAAAATTAGTAATTAATCTGGCACAATTTTTTATCGGTTGATCCACGTGTTTGGAGATAATTTTAACATTGTTCAACTAGATCTTAGTGTAATATTTTTTCTCTCTCTCTTGATTGATGATGCATTTTAAATTATAATTTTTGTTTTTGATATATATTACGGAATCCTTCAATCTATATGTTGCTTAACTCTTTTATAGTTTATTTTACTTTAATAAAAAAAAGATTGGTTTCGTTGTTAACTTCTTTATTTCTATGTTCTCAATTGCTTGGTCAACAATTAAGTTGATTTG